TATAAACCATCATCAAAGGCTTTTCCAACATTTCATTGCTTTAAACCATCTACTGAAACTTACTGGACTCCTTTCATTATTACTGAGTCTTATAAATCATCCTACCATGATTACTTTGTGTATATTATGTCCAGAGACTTTTTTAAAGTTTTTTTTTTTTTTTTTGTGAACCATTTCCAAAAATTTTACTCAAGACATTACCTCTTATAAACCATCTTTACGGTATCCTACAACATCCATCATGAATACTTCTTGTATATTATGTCCAGAAGCCTTTGCAACGTTCCATCCTTATAAATCATCTCCAAAAATTAACTCGACCTAACTTTCTTCTTGTAATCCATCTCCAAAAACTTACTCAAGCCATTATTACCTCTTTAAAGGCTTGTTTGACGTTTTTTGCAATATGTTTTCTTATAAACCATCATTAAAAGCTTTTCCAACATTTAATTGCTGTAAATCATCTACTTACTGGGTTCTTCCATTATTATCACTTCTTATAAATGATCATCTAACATCTCCTACCATGATTACTTCTTGTATGTTATGTCCATAAGCTTTTTCAATGTTTCTTTTTCTAAACCATTTTCAAAACCTTAAGCCATTATTAACTCTTATAAATGTTCTTAACATCATCTTATAACATCTTCTATCTTCATTGCTTCCCGAGTATTATATCCAGAATGTTTTCCAATGGTCACCTCTTGGAAACCATCTCGAGTCATTATTACCTCTTCAAGGGTTTGTTTATAGTTTCTTTGCAATATTTGTTCTTATAAACCATCATCAAAAGCTTTTGCAACTATTTCATTGGTGTAAATCATCTACAGAAACCTACTAGACTTCTTCCATTATTATCGCTTCTTATAAATCATCATCTAACATGATTACTTCTTGTATATTATGTCCAGAAGCTTTTTCATCGGTTTTTTTTTTTTGTAAACAGTTCCTAAAAACTTAACTCAGGCCATTATTAGCTCTTGTAAAGCATTTTTACGTCATCTTACAACATCTCCAAATACTTACTCGAGCCATGATTGCCTCTTTTAAGGTTTGTTCAATGTCTCTTTGCAATATTTTTTTCATATGAACCATTATCAAAAGCTTTTTCTACTAATTTATTGGTATAAATCATCTACAGAAACTTACTAGACTTCTAGTATTACCGGTTCTTATAAATCATCATCTAATATCTTCAGTTGGCGGAAATTTGTTCGAAACACCTTCAAAAAAATTTGTTCGAAAAACCCTTAGTTCGAAAAATCATTTCCAAAAACAACTCAAACCATTATCAACTCTTGTAAACTATATTTGCATCATTTTACAACATCCTATCATGATTACTTCCTATATATTATGTCCAGTAGCTTTTCCAACTGTCCCTTCCTGTAAACCATTTCCAAAAACTTACTTGAGCCTTTGAAGGCTTGTGCAACGTCTTCTTGCAATATTTTTTTTTATAATCCAAATGTTTCAAAAGATTTTCAAACATTTCATTGGTGTAAATAATTTCCAGAACTTATTAGACTTCTTCCAATACTATTTATTCCTACAAATCATCATTTAACATCTCCTAACCATGATTACTTCTTGTAAACTGTTTTCATAAACTTAACCTAGGTCATTATTTTCTCTGGTAAACCATATTTATATCATCTTATAATATCAACCGTGATTACTTCCGATATATTATGTCCAGAAACATTTCCAATATTTTTTTTTTTTTATAAACCACCTACAAAATTTCATTGGTGTAAATCATCGGTAGAAACTTATTATACTTCTTCCAGTATTATCGGTTCTTATAAATCACTATCTAGCATCTCCTACCATGATTACTTCTTGTAAATTATGCCCAGAAACCTTTTCAATGTTTCTTTTTTGTAAACAATTTCTAAAAACTTAATTCAGACCAGTAAAACCGTAAACCATCTATACATCATCTTGTATCTCCTACCATGATTACTTTTTGTGTATTATGATCAGAAGTCTTTGCAACATTCCATCCTTGTAAACCAGCTCCAAAAATTAACTAGACCTAACTTTATCTTTTTAAAGGATTTTCAACGTCTCCTTTCATTAGTTTTTCTTATAATCAATCATCAAAAGTTTTTCCTACATTTAATTGATATAAATTATCTACAAAATCTTACTAGACTTCTTCTAGTATTATTGGTTCTTATAAATCACTGTCTAGCATTTCCTACCATGATTACTTCTTGTAAATGATGTCCATAAGCCTTTTCAATGTTTCTTTTTGTAAACAATTTCTAAAAACTTAACTCAGGTCATTATTACCTTTCGTAAATCATCTTTATATCATCTTACATTTCCTACCATGATTACTTCTTGTATATTATGACCAGAAGCCTTTGCATCGTTCCATCCTTGTATACCTTTTCCAAAAATTAACTCAACCTAACTTTATCTTTTTAAAAGCTTTTCAACGTCTCCTTGCATTTGTTTTTCTTATAATCCATCATCAAAAGTTTTTCCTACATTTAATTAGTCTAAATTATCTATAGAATCTTACTAGACTTCTTCCAATATTATCGGTTCTTATAAATTATCATTTAACATCTCCTAACTGTGATTACTTCTTGTATATTATGTCCCGAAGCATTTTCAATTTTTCTTTCTTGTAAACTGTTTTCAAAAACTTAACTTAGGTTATTATTTTCTCTGGTAAACCATCTTTATATTATCTTATAATATCAATCGTGATTACTTTTGATATATTATGTCCAGAAGCTTTTCTAATATTTTTTTTATAAACCATCTACGAAATCTTTTCAAACATTTGGGGTAAATCATCTGTAGAAACTTATTAGACTTCTCCCAGTATTATTGGTTCTTATAAATCCCTATCTAGCATCTCCTACCATGATTACTTCTTGTAAATTATGTCCAGAAGCCTTTTCAATGTTTCTTTTTTGTAAACAATTTCTAAAAACTTAACTCAGCCCATTATTACCTTTTGTAAACCATCTTTACATCATCTTACATCTCCTACCATGATTACTTCTTGTATATTATGACCAGAAGCCTTTGTAACGTTCCATCATTGTACACCATCTCCAAAAATTAACTCGATCTAATTTTATCTTTTTAAAGGCTTTTCAACTTCTCCTTGCATTAGTTTTTCTTATAATCCATCATCAAAAGTTTTTCCAACTATTTCATTGGTGTAAATGATCTACAGAAACTTACTAGACTTCTTCCAGTATTATCGGTTCTTATAAATCCCTATTTAGCATCTCCTGCCATGATTACTTGTAAATAATTTCTACAAAACTTAACTCATGCCATTATTACCTTTTGTAAACCATCTTACATCTTCCTACTTCCATAATTCTTGAATATTATGACCAGAAGCCTTTACAACGTTCCATCCTTGTAAACCATCTCCAAAAATTAACTAGACCTAACTTTATCTTTTTAAAGGCTTCTCAACGTCTCCTTGCATTAGTTTTTCTTATAATCCATCATCAAAAGTTTTTCTTTCATTAATTTTGTGTAAATTATCTACAGAATCTTACTAGACTTCTTCCAGTATTATCGGTTCTTATAAATCACTGTCTAGCATCTTCTACCATGATTACTTCTTGCAAATTATGCCCAGAAGCCATTTCAATGTTTCTTTTTTGTAAACAATTTTTAAAAACTTAATTCAGGCCATTATTACCTTCTGTAAACCATCTTTACATCTCCTACCATGATTACTTCTTGTATATTATGACCAGAAGTCTTTGCAACGTCCCATCCTTGTAAACCATCTCCAAAAATTAACTCGACCTAACTTTATCTTGGTTTTTCAACGTCTCCTTGCATTAGTTTTTCTTATAATCAATCATTAAAAGTGTTTCCTACATTTAATTGGTATACATTATTGGAAGAAACTTATTAGACTTCTTCCAGTATTATTGGTTCTTATAAATCACTATCTAGTATATCCTACTATGATTACTTCTTGTAAATTAAGTCTAGAAGCCTTTTCAATGTTTCTTTTTTGTAAGCAATTTCTAAAAACTTAACTTAGGCCATCATTACATTTTGTAAACCATCTTTACATCATCTTACATCTCCTACCATGAATACTTCTTGTATATTATGACCAGAAGCCTTTGTAACGTTCTATCCTTGTAAACCATCTCCAAAAATTAACTCGACCTAACTTTATCTTTTTAAAGGCTTTTCAACGTCTACTTTCATTAGTTTTTCTTATAATCCATCGTCAAAAGTTTTTTCTATATTTAATTGGTGTAAATTATCTAGAGAATCTTACTAAACTTCTTCCAATAATATCGGTTCTTATAAATTATCATTTAACAATTCCTACCGTGATTACTTATTGTAAATTTTTTCCAGAAGCTTTTTCAGTGGTTCTTTCTTGTAAACCATTTCCAAAAACTTGACTCGAGCCATTATTAGCTGGTGTAAGTTTACTAGACTTCTTCCAACATTATCAGTTCTTCTAAATCTTCTTCAAAATCACATTGTCATCTCTTTTCAATTTAATTGATTCTGCTTTTTGTAAATCATTAGCATTTTTATCCTTAAGTTCATCATGAGCAGGTCTATTTCCAACTTCACTTAATAATTCCACTATTTTGATCAATTTTGTTGCCTCTATCATCATTATCCTCAACTTTATTATCATTTTTTTGGATATTTTTGCAGAAGTATCTGTTATTTCAAGTAAATGTTCTGACTTTAGTAGATTAATCTTTTTTGATGTAGCTGCCTGCTTCTCTTTCCATTCCCAATGAGGATATTTTTTGGTATCAGCATAGATACAAACATAATTTTTTCTTTGGAATGTCCACCACACTGAGAAGATCGTTGCTATTTGTACCTCTGCAAAAAACTGAGATATCGTCAGATATGTAGATACTTTTTTTTTACAAAATAAATACTAAAAAACGGCTAGTAGAAGATAGAAGAAAATATTGCTACGGAAACTTTACTACTTACGATTTTTTTTTCTATTTGTATTCCAGATTCGACCAGCGCGTCTTCGAACAGCAACCAAACTCGTATTACGACCACCTCATCTGTATCGAGTTCCGGCTATCCTGCCAGCCCTTCAGTCATCAATCTGGATAGTCCTTCGCCCCCTAGATCGCCTCCTCAGCATCAACAAAGCGACCAACAGCAGGCCCCGTCGTCTTGCATGATGACCGGCCAAACGAACGGCACTCCGTTCGATAAGAGCGCTACGCCGTTCATGGGCCCCGGATCGATGCCGTTTTTGGACTTGGACAACGACCCGAGCACTCCCTCTAACGGAAACAACCTGAACTTCACCAATTATTAATAAGAACATTTTATGACTAGTTTCATTTTAACTATTAATTTGTATAGTTTCTTTTTTTTATATAAATCTGATGCGCTTGCTGTACAAAACTTTAGATATTTATAGGGTTGTGTACGTCGAGACATAACCTCGAAAATAGATGGATATGGAAGACCAAAAAGTTACCGTTGTGTTTAATTGACGGTAACGATTTTATTAATTGATTTATTTGTAACTGGTTGCATAGTTTGAGTTGCGTTTGTGTTTTTAGCGCTCTTGCGGCATTTACGATGTTTCGATGCGAAAAATGACAGCTGTCAAAGTTGATCGTGTCGAAAACGTTGTTTGGCGTTTCTTGTAGTATGTCAATTTTTCAATAATTGTTTTTCGTTGTAAGGGTCCGATTACAGTAAGAACTTGGGTTCGTCATCACTCGGAGGAATAATTTGTTGACAATTGAGATTTAATGTTGAGTTATTATAAGTTTTTTTTTTTTAATTAAACAACTTACTCTTTATTTATTGCTAGTTATAGATAGGGTAATCGTTAAGTATGTGATCGAACTTTAAAATTCTCTTCCTTTACTTAATTTTGAGACAGAGTTATCGTAGTAACCATCGAGATAGATAAAAGTAAAGACGAAATAAAAAAAAAGAAAATAAATTCAAATATATTTAAATAAATTGAAATTAGGAATGAATTATTATCTATATTAAATATGGTTAGTTTCTTCAAAAAATTGAAACTCAAAATCAATACCACTGGACTGGACAGGAATACAAGACGGGACGAACCCAGAAACAGTATTCACTATTAGTTTAACAAAGAAATTTAAATAAAGAATGAAAAAAATACAATTTTGTGAGAAAAATATTAATGGTAATGACTAATTACAAATTTTAATAATAATTACTTAAATATGATTTATATAGAAGTTATTAAGTGTTGTACTTAAAGTCACTAAGGAAAAGAACCAATCACGATTGATTCAATTTGACAGTGTGTTGTAAGATTTACAACATCGATGAAGGGGTAAATTTAAGTGGTAATTGGTAGAACTATGATTCACGTAGAATATGTTTTGATTTCTAGTATTGTATAATGGAATATTGATATTTATTAAACTTACTAAATGTGAAGAATCAATCAAATAAGCAACAATTTTGTGAACAAATTTTATGTCATATATTTGTCTTCTGTCTTCATTATTAAATACAGGTACGACTAGTTTCGGCTTCACAGGCTCATCTGCAAGCCTCTTAATACATAAAATTCAATCTGTTTTTCCTATCTTAAGTTAGAATTTTATGTATTACAGGCCTGAAGATGGTCCTGTAAGGCCGAAACTAGTCGCACCTGTAATTTAAATTAAATTTATGTGGTATTGATTTTAAGTTTTTATTCTTTGTTTAAATTGAAATTCGAATAAATTTATTTTATTTATTTATTACTATATCCAACAGAGTTGCCCCTAATTACAGTATAAGGAAAGAAATATTACAAGAATTGGGAATTAACATAAATAATTATTCTTATGTATATACATATATAAACTTAAATCTAAATAAACACGAATTTAAACAGACACGGGTACATCCTTAAAAAAACTTACATAAGAAAAAAAGGATGCATCCATTTCCACCTTTAATAATTACTGCGCAAATTAAATTGACAGAAAGATACTTCTAATAGATGCAACAGAGCAATCAAATCAAAATCATTTATTCACCATAAAAGTACATTCATTCACATAATAAATGCCACTTATTAGGCTAGTCAATTAAAAACATTATAGTTAATTAAAATTAAAATTTGAAAGCAAAAATTTTGTACAGTTTGTGGCTTCTACAGTATCCATATCTATTAAAATATCAGGAACATTACATTTAAAGGTTAGTATTTTTGTTTTTTTAAAATTTAATGAGAGAAAATTTGCAGTGCACCATGTTTTAAAGGATTTTAGGTCATTACTAATATTTGCATAAAGAATATTGACGTCTTTATTGTGCCACAAGATAGTAGTATCGTCAGCAAATAGAGTGAAACTTCCTGAGATATTTAACTTACCTAAATCATTGATATAAATTAAAAACAGGGTGGGCCCAAGAACAGAACCTTGAGGGACACCCCATTTTATGTCACTTGTGTTCGAGTCTGAAACAGTTCGGACTAACTGTTTGCGACCTAAAAGGTAGGATTTCATCCAACTCAAGGCCACATCTCTTATGCCATAAATTTCAAGCTTTTGCAGCAGTACTCCATGGTTGACACAGTCAAAAGCTTTAGTCAGATCACAAAATACTGCAAGTAAGAAACGGTATCATCAGAAGCCACATAGCTGATGATATTTTCATAGACGAAACATAGTAAAATGGTAAAGTGTAACATATCGTTGTATTTAGCTATACAAAAGCTATAAAAAATTACAGTTAAAAATCCAGGTCCGTATTTAAAAAAATAAGTTGAAGGTGGCCCTGCAAATACGAAACGTCGTAATAAAAATTTTGATATGCCAGATTATAGGGAACTTGATTTATAACAAAAACTTTGTATAATTTTTTTTTTGTATCTTTTATAATAACAACGCACGACTTAAAAACGAAAATGAGGTTTTTCGGATTTTATCGAATATCTACGGAACCAGTCAGAAAATCTGGAACTTGTATGGACCATTGTATTATCCGTCAAAATACGAAACTTTTTCCCCATTTAACCGACAATGTATATCTTACGGTTTACGAGATCTCTGTATACGCAAATTAAATCCGGTCCACCCTGTATATGTTAGTTCTGCTGTCCTAAGAAAGACCCCCGTATCTCCAGAAAACATTATTTCGAAAAAAACGCCGTTTAACATATTTTGTTTAGCCGCAAATATACACTGGGAAATAATTTTCTATGATAAATTTAGGCAAAAAAAAGTAAATACGGTTTTTTTTTTTAAGTAAAATTGTAGTTTATACTACCAGAAACATGTATATGGTAATACTGTTTTTTTTTTTTTTTTCAATTTTTGGAGATACGGGTTTTTTTCATAGGACGGTAGAGTTCTATGTGCTTGTTGCTAGAATAGTTGATTTCTTCGGAAATTAACTGTAGGGACGTGAAAGTTTAACATTTCCAAACATGAAAAACAATCCACCTTGTTATTTAATAACTTGAACAGAAATATCACTGAGTGCATTGCTCTTCTTTTTAAAAGACCTACATGTATTGAAACAGTTTAAATAATAACTTTGAGGAAGTTCTCTTATGGGATAGGTACTATCACTTAAAAAATAAGCTGATTTAAAAAATCTTCGTTGAACTCTAATTTAGACAAAACCAGCGAAGAGAAAAGTATTTTCATAGTTGAAAAATCATTGAATAATCTCATATTCCTTATAACAAAACCTCAAATTCGATAAGCAGAAGCAGTTGTTTTTTCAATGTGCGATGTAAGCGTTAATTTTGGATCAAAGAAAACTCAAAGATCTTTAATCAGTTCTGGTCGATTTAATGTAGAATTTTGTAGGTTATAATTATATAGTATTGATGCTTCATTTCTAGTACATGTCATTACATTACATTTTTTAACATTTAACGGTAATTTATTTCTTTTGCCCCATTCGTTTAAGCAGTCTTGAAGCAATAGACAAGCGTTATAAATAGAGATTTCATAAAAAAAAATTTAAGTCATCGGAAAACAATAGATTTGTGACGCTCAAATTACAAACAATATCATTAATAAAAAGCAGAAATAATAAAGGTCCTAAAACCGAGCCTTGCGGGACGCCGGATGTTTGTTTGAAATTCATTGATTTATGCCCTAAGCACTGAACATAAAGGTAACGATCTGATAGATATGACTGTAATACATTTAATAAGGAGCCATGAAAGTTTACTTATTAGAAGTTTGTGATCAATTCTATCAAATGCTTTAGAGAAGTCAGTATAAATACCATCAACCTGACTTCTTCTATCCAAAACTTCAGAAATACAATGAGTTAAATGGATTAAACTAAATTCGAATCAATATCCCAATAAATTAAAATAAGTTCAAATAAATTTAAATAAATGAAATAAATTCGAATAAGGTTGAGTGAATTTCAACAAATTGAAATTGGTTGAAAAAATTTCGAATATTTTTAGAAAAATTCGAAAAAATTTAAATAAATTCGAACAAATTGAAATTCATTGAAATAAAAAATTCGAATAATTGAAATAAATTCAAATAAATTAATCAATGTAATTCCGAATAAACTTAAATTCGAAAAAATTGAAATAATTTCTAATAAATTTAAGTGAATTTCAACAAATTGAAATTCGAATAAATTTAAGTGAATTTCACCAAACTGGAATAAAACTAAATTCGAACAAATTTAAATAAATTCGAATAAATCTAAATAATGAATTTTTTTGTTTTTGGTCGATTTTTTTTGTTAGAGTATTGTTACTAGTCATTACTGACTAACCTACAATGTTAATCTAACAATCTTATAACTAATTACTTATCTAAGAAGTCCACATTGGGCTGTCTTAATTGTTTCTATATGAAAGCATCACAAGTTGGCGTGACGATTTATTACACTGTTTTACACTAGCACTAACATTAACGTTCACTGTACTAGCTCAAATGGCTTCTTCCTTTTGAGCCTTCTGTTAAGTGTAGAGTTGTCCAGTAATTGCAGCGCTTCTTCGTTGACGTGGGAGTGGAGTCGACCCTCATGTTTTGCAACAAACTTCTTTATTTCTTCTTCGATTGTTGGCATCTTCATGTCTGTATGAAGATAATCGTTTCGATAGAATCAAGGTGCGATGCATCATAGGACTTTATTTTGGAAAACTTGTATCATGTTGATATTACTCTTGCTGGCACATCCCCGTAGCAGTATGCCATAAATCCAGATTGGTTTTAGGATTTGTTTATAAATCAGCAGTTTATTGTGCACTGACAATTTGGATTTTCTTCCTAGGAGCCAACACATTTTTTTGAATTTAAGTTCAAGTTCTTTACGCTTTTTTTATGTGTTCTTTCCATTTAAGTCTTAAATCTAGGTTGATCCCTAGGTATTTGGCCGAATCGTGATGCGGAATAACGTTATTGTTTATTCTTATTTGTTTTTGTTCAGCTGGTCGAAGAGTAAAATCAACATGCACTGGTTTATTTTCCACTTTTTTGTAGATATGACTTTAACAAGTGAGTTGGTCATAATAACTTAAATCACATAAATTGGACTTTGTAGTAAGTCCACGAAATAGAGTTTTTAATTTCAAATTATTTGTATACTTGCAAAATGGTTTATTTTCATGATCTTCATGCATTGTTAAGTTTAATTTAGAGTTATAATTTCTGGATGTCTCATTAAGAATTGGACATAGAGCAACTGCAGATTCTTTGATTAAAAATAATATTAAACGAAACATGCTTGGATAAATATTATTCGTGTTCGAAATACAGGGTGTTAAAGTTGAAAATCCAAAAAAATATTTTTGGTTCTATTTTTTTTTACTTACTTTGTCATTTTTTGTGTCGTAAGATCCTCTTATCAGCGAAAAAATCAGTTAAATAAACTTTGCCCGTGTCGTACGGCATGGATAAGTAAAACCTTCATCCTATCTAAATTTTACGCCACTTTCTAATAACTTATTTAAACTGTACTTTTAGATTTTTTGATGTTTTTAAAATAAATCATGTACTCTTGTTGGGAACTCATAAAGTGATTGGTTTTCGAAATATTCACACTCAAAGGTGGATATTCTTCTTTTTAATTTTGGATTTTTTTATAAAATAATGATATAATGTAATGTATGTTAAGTTGTAAAGCCCAATTAGTAATTTCTGCTTATAGAATACGAGCCCTAACTATTAAATGTTAGGAAAAACAAAAAAAGGACTTGCCAGCTTACATAATTTTTTTAATATTAATTTTTGGAAAAAAAATTAATCATAAAAAGTTGTGCATTGTTTAAAACCTTAAATGCAACCATTTATTATCAATTTTTTTCAGACCTATACAAGATTTGTCAAAAAAATACGAATTTACTCAACAGTAAAGTACCTTTATTTTTGACAAACCTCTTATATGACTCATAAAATTTGATCTAAGATGGTTGCGTTTTAGGTTTTAGAGCATGCACAATTTTTTTTTTTTTTTCTAAAATTAATAATAAAAAAGACTTTCTTGTCTTAAAATTGAATAAGAAAGAACGCCTTAAAGTTTGGTCACATACTTAACGATTACCGTGTATATTTGAATTTCGAACTAATATTATTCTTATTGTAATCGGACTCTACTCTTGTTGCCTTCTATATTTCCATTTCGCTCTTTGCGTCAATCTGTATTTCTATTGTTGTTTCTTTGTCTATATCTCGTGTTTTTTAACTCACTTAAATATTTGAAACATTATCAAAAACTGACGTCTACGGTATTTGACACAAGTTCGGTAATTTCAAGTTTTGGTGCGGAACAGAAGTGACATTTTTAGACGTGTTGAACCGTCGTTTATGTGTCAACTGTCACTGATGGGAATACGTCGATAAAAACGGTACGTTTTTGTGTTCAAAAGCGGAAAAGAAGTTAAATAATATGTGAAATTTTGTGAAATCCTTTCAAAAACTTTTAAAATCGATGGTTTGTCCCTAGTTTAACAGATTTTTTTGTGTATTTTCTTATACAAAATTTGTTATTATTGTCCTTTTAGCTGCTGCCTAGAACAACTGTGAC